GCTGCTAAGGGATGAGCTCCAACCTGCAGCAGAAGGCAGGCAAAGCTCTAGCAAAAGGACAGGCAGTGGCGGCAGCTGGTGTGAGCGTGCCAGAAGGAGTGACACACTCAGAATGTTGCCCCCACCAGAAAGGGCAGTGGGAGGAGCGGGGAGAAAGGAGGGTAAGCTCATCCCCAACACCAGCAAGCCAGAGCCGCTGAGCCAGGTGGGAGTGGAAGCCGAGGTGTGTTCAGGAGCAAAGGTGAGCTTGAAGATCATGTTACCGACGACAGCTGGGTTCTATAGGCACCTGAGGAGAGGGGGTCTAGGCTGATTTCAGTGTGCACAAGCAGGGACAAGGGTGTCCGGGACATTGCACGCGGGCATGCAGGCTGGGGAGTCACATAAAGGGCTGTCAGTGGGAGAGGACAGTCCCCAACAGCAGGAAATCAAGCAGTCCCTGTGCCTGAGTGAAAGGCTGACAGCCCATAGAAACAAACCAGACAGACGGACATGTTCTAACTGTGCCCAGCACACCTGGAAGGAAGAAAATGGCTAACTGGCTTCTTAAAAGACTTCCAGATTGCGTTGTAAAACTGAATCCTCTGTAGCATGCAAGGAACAAAGAAATTCTGGAAGGTTAAAAATAAAATTCTGGGCAGGCCAGGCACAGTGGCTCATGCCAGTGATCTCAGCACTTTAGGGAGGCTGAGTTGCACAGATTGCTTGAGCTCAGCAGTTCGAGACAAGCCTGAGCAACCCTGTCTCAATTTAAAAAAATTTGTGGGCAAAGTTATGCCAAGGTAAAGTTGAAGAGAGGAGTTGTTCTGAGACAAGGTAGAATTCAGGCTCCATCACTTGCAGTGATCCAGAAGAAGGCTTTTTTGACAACAGAACCACCACTGGGGGTGAGATGCACCCTGAATTTAGGGCCTTCCAACCGGCCCGCAGGGCACAGGAGAAAGGCCAATGAACACAGCTGGCAGTGAGTTCGCCTCTTAGCTGAAGGCAGAGATCCTGGACGGATCACCAGCATGAACTCAGCACTGTCTAAAAGGAGGACAGAATAAACTGGAGGAAGTGTTTAAAGACCAAGCAGAGACTTAGAAATGAGAAAACAGGGCTGTGCGCAGTGGATCACAAGGTCAGAAGTTTGAGACCATCCTGGGTAACATGGTGAAACCCTGTCTCTACTAAAAATACAAAAAATTAGCTGTGCTTGGTGGCGTGTGCCTGTAGTCCCAGCTACTCGGGAGGCTGAGGTGGGAGAATCGCTTGAACCCAGGAGGTGGAGGTTGCAGTGAGCCAGGATCGCGCCACGCACTCTAGCCTGGGTCACTAAGTGAGACTCTGTCTCGAAAGAAGTAATAAGTAAATCACTTTTTACATACCACAACAGTGCCATATATATATGGCCATATATATATATATTTTTTTTTTTGAGACAGAGTCTTGCTTTGTTGCCAGGCTGGAGTGCGGTGGTGCTATCTTAGCTCACTGCAACCTCCACCTCCCAGGTTCAAGTGATTCTCCTGCTTCAGCCTTCCAAGTAGCTGGGATTATAGGCACATGGCACCATGCTTGGCTAATTTTTGTATTTTTAGTAGAGACAGGGTTTCATCATGTTGGTCAGGCTGGTTTCGATCTCCGAACCTCAACAGTCCACCTGCCTCAGCCTCGCAAAGTGCTGAGATTACAGGCACAAGCCACTGTGCCTGACCACCGTGTATCTTTCAAAGACACACATACTGAGGCATGAGGTCCGAGCCAGGCCATGGACCTGTGTGTGAATGTGGGAGGAGGGGCCTGGGACCTCTGAGGGCGTGCACCAGCTGGTAGGGTACACCTAAGGAGCACAGAGAGCAGCCCCTTGTGACCAAGTGGCATTTCCCCCAGGAGATAAGGAGGGCATAGCAGCCCCATCAGTAAGTAAAGGAGGAAAATAAATCCAGGGTCATTTTCATGAACACCAGAAAATCATTTGAGAAAATTCAAACGTATTCCTGATGAAAACTTCCCAGGAAACCAGGACTACAGCTGTGCTTAGCTTGCTAAAGGATGTCAGCTGATGCGCAGTGGGCCACACACTCGTGGCCGGTTTAGAAACAAGACAGGACTCAGGCCGCTCCTGTTCCTCCTAAGGCTGCAGGTGCTGGGTGATGCAGGCAGGCCAGAAACAGCAGAGCAGCAGGGGGCAAACGGTGTCTCCCGGAGAATGAGGCCCTGGGTTTGGTGACGGCCTCGTGAACTGTAGTGACAACAGAGGCCAGTGCACAGGTTTCCCCTGCTCTCGTATGCAGAGGCGCAAAGTGCGTTGATGCGTGTGCGTGAAGGGAGCAGCCTTCAGTGGTAAGCTTGGCAGTGTCATCTCAGGACGTGAGAGGTGACGTGGACGAGTGGTGGCACAGGCTATGTCCCCGCCAGGAAGGGAGAGGCTGTGAGGGTGGAAATCTTACTCAGTGAAAGCTCGTTGTAAGCGTGATAAAAATAGCAAAAACATTTAAATATACCTGGACAGGCAATTTCAAAGTCCATGTAGAAGGAAAAATCTGCAAGTCTAGCCAGTGCTTTATCTTGAAGCCTTACCGTGGGAAGGGTGGGCGTGTCCTGGGGGTGACAATACCCACTGTGGCGTTCCTGTGACACTAGAGGGGCCCAAGCCCAGGCGGATGGCCACGGGGAATGGGGCCAAGGCCAGGGTTGGGCAACCCAAGTGGCATGCACTGATGAAGCCACCAGTGAAGGTCACAGCGCTTATGAAGGTCAATTCCAGATGGATTGAACAGCTCGGAGAGTGGGAAGATGGATTTTATAATCTGTGTGGTGGGGAAAGCTGCATGCAACTACTCAGCAAATCAAAATGGATGAAGCAAAGGATAAAATGGTTGCCTAAAGCAGAGGCAGCTTTGTGAGAAAAGGCACCGTGCAGGGAAGAGTCCAGTGGGAGCTGGGAAGCTACAGGAAAGTTTTGACACATCGTTACACAGGGCAGGGGCCTGTGTTCGGAATATCTAGGGGACATCTGCAAATCAGTTAAGAAGATACATAAAACAGGGCCAAGATATGGTGGGCCACCCACAAAGGCAAACTCGCCCAATCACAGGTGGCATTAGGCCCTGCTGGCAATGGGAGGAGTGTCGGTTAGACACGGCGATGCCAGGTATCAGAGGCTGGGCTGTCCTGTTGGCACTGGCGGCGTGTCCCACGTATGTGTCCTGTGCCGTCCTGCTCCCCGGCGTCCTTCAGAAGTGTGGGTGTGCATGCAACATGCACATCGTACCTCGGCTCAGTGCTCCATGACAAAGCATCGGCAGAGGGCTCTGTGTTAAGGGGTGTTGTGCAGGTGTTGAAGAGTGGCACTCTGGCTTGATTAGTGCATTTTGTTATCGTGAAAAGCACCTTGCAGAGAACTACATTCTGGTACCATTTCTGGTTTTAAAGGGATGGCCTGGGTGGGTATGTAGAAGGGACAGGGGCCCAGTAGTCTCGGGGGTACCCTGAGAGATGGCACCAGGGCTGAGTGCCTGGGCAGGTGTGTGAATAGTGACTCTAAGCTGCTTTCTGGGACCATGAGACAGCTTATGGATGTCCGCAAAACCATTCACACTCATGGTTTTGCATGAACATGTGACTTTAAGCTTTATGTGGGCTTTTGATTGCCCCCCACACGGTTGTGTGGTGCATCTGGCGGCTCCTAGGGTGGAGGCCAGGGCTGTTCGCCTCCCGCTGCTGCTGAGCGGTGATGTTCTTGCCAGTTCCTGCCTTTGGCTTCCAGGCACCTGGAGGATTTCACTCGGTTAGTTCTCAGCCACGCTGTGCTTGCATTTGTGATTTTCCTGGCTCTTCTCAGATTGTGCTTTCCAAAGCCTTCCTGCCAGTCCTGCAGCCACCCCCTCATCTCAGCCAGTGTGACATCAGCGTCATGGGTGCAGAGTCAGAGCTCACTTTCACTCTGATGTGCATTTCTCCACCTGCTTGAGAATCTGAGTGTCTTCCTGTAGACTTGTCTGTCTGGATTTACTCCTTGCGAATTGTTACTTTGCATTCTTTGCTGGTTTTTCAGTTGGGTGAGGTGTTTTGTTTTGTTTTTTTAAACAGAGTCTCACTCTGTTGCCAGGCTGGAGTGCAGTGGCATAATCTCAGCTCAATGCAACCTCCACCTCCTGAATTCAAGGGATTTTTCTGCCTCCGCCTCCCGAGTAGCTGGGAATACAGGTGTGTGGCACCACGCCTAGCTAATTTTTGTATTTTTAGTAGAGATGGGGTTTCACCATATTGGCCAGACTGGTCTTAATCTGACCTGGTGATCCTCCCGCCTTGGCCTCCCAAAGTGCTGGTATTAACAGGAGTGAGCTGCCACACCCAGCCAGGTGAGTCTCTTTTTTTGAGATGGAGTTTTGCTCTTGTTGCCCAGGCTGGAGTGCAGTGGCACAATCTTGGCTCACCGCAACCTCTGCCTCCCGGGTTCAAGCAATTCTCCTGCCTCAGCCTCCTGAGTAGCTGGGATTACAGGCACGTGCCACCAGGCCCAGCTAATGTTTTTTGTATTTTTAGTAGAGATGGGGTTTCACCATGTTGGCTATTCTGGTCTCTAACTCTTGACCTCAGGTGATCTGCCCACCTCGGCCTCCCAAAGTGTGAGGATTACAGATGTGAGCTACTGCACCCAGCCGGGGTGAGTCTTGGTCTTGTCCCTGAGTGCCACTAGGCTAGGCTGTTGGCATTGGCCTTCAGTCCTACGTTTGCCGTCACGGAGGACGCCGGGAGGTCTGGCTCCGGGTCCCGTCCTCCCTGGCGCTCACGAAGGCTCGGTCCTCTCCATGTGGTCCTGACCTGTCCTCTGTGAGCAAGAGAAACAGGACTGGCTTGGGGGTGTCCTGTCTGAGCGGACACGGGACACCACGGTTTTCAGTACGACAAGGGACACAACTTGTTCAGTGTGCCTTATGATGGTGAAAATTCCCTTTAAAAATAACACGTGAGTGATAACACTTGACCTCACATACCACTTGACCTTACAGGACCGTATAATTGATGCTGGACCCAAAGGAAACTACTCTCGATTTATGAATCACAGCTGCCAGCCCAACTGTGAGACCCTCAAGTGGACAGTGAATGGGGACACTCGTGTGGGCCTGTTCGCCGTCTGTGACATTCCGGCAGGTATAAGTTCTGGGCACCTTATGTGGGGCTCCTGGCTGTGGGGGCAGAGTGGCCATCACTGTGAGCTGCTTGGGGCTGGACTGGAAAGGCTCTGGAGGAGGTGGGTGCTGATGTGGGAGTCCACTTTTTTTTTTTTTTTTTTTTTTTGAGACGGAGTTCCGCTCTTGTTACCCAGGCTGGAGTGCAATGGCGCGATCTCGGCTCACCACAACCTCCGCCTCCTGGGTTCAGGCAATTCTCCTGCCTCAGCCTCCTGAGTAGCTGGGATTACAGGCACGCACCACCATGCCCAGCTCATTTTTTGTATTTTTAGTAGAGACGCGGTTTCACCATGTTGATCAGGATGGTCTCGATCTCTTGACCTCATGATCCACCTGCCTCGGCCTCCCAAAGTGCTGGGATTACAGGCTTGAGCCACCGCGCCCAGCCGGAAGTCCACTTTTAATCTGAATCTCTCCTTTACCAAGCAAAATGGAAAGGCCAGGGATTGAGCCAGTACAGACAGGAGAATCATAGCGTATTTTTGCTAAACTAACACATGCCCTTAGCATTGAAGAGAAAGGTCGTTGTTTCCAATGTGGTGTGTGTCTTCTCTTCTCCCAGGGACAGAGCTGACTTTTAACTACAACCTCGATTGTTTGGGCAATGAAAAAACAGTCTGCCGGTGTGGAGCCTCCAATTGCAGTGGATTCCTCGGGGACAGACCAAAGGTCAGGCTGTCAAGCCATTCCTCCTCCAGGCTCTGTGCTGCCATTTCACACATGTCACACCCCTGGAGATATGCGCTTCCTCCCGCTGGCTTCTTGCTGGGACAGGTGGGAGGAGGTCCCTGTTGTGGGTGGGCATGGCAGTGCCTCTCAGCAAAGGCCAATTGCTAAGAGTTCCTCACTGGAAGTGTTTCCTGGGCTCCCAGAACAGTGCGCCACAGATGGATTGCTTAACCAACAGGGGCACACTGTCTCACAGTTCTGGGGGCCAGAAGTCTGAAATCAGGGTGCGGGCAGGCTGTGCGCCCTCCAGAGGCTCCTTCCCAGGCATGTGTCCTGCTCCTGGTGGCGGTTGCAGCCCTTGCTGCTCCTTGGCTTGTGGCAGCCCTGCCCCACCGTTCTCCTGTGAACGCGTCTGCTGAGGTGCCCTTCTTCTCAGGGCACCGGTTGACCCAGGGCTTGCCTGCTGCCGTGTTGACCCCGTCTAAACAGATCACATTGGCAGTGACCCTATTTCCAAATACAGTCACCTTCCAAGGTTCCAGGAAGGACAGATTTGGGGGGCACTCTGGGCCTGAAAGCCTGGCGGTGGTGCCCCCTGGGCCCTAAGCTGGCGTCTGTCCTCAGCCACATTGCTGATGCTCTCAGGCCACTGCTGCCCGCCTGTACCCACGTTCCTGTGGAGTTTCCTAATGAGGAGAGCCCGGGTGGCAGGCGTGGGAGCTGTTCTGCCTGTGGTGGCCTCCTTGGCCCCATGGGTCCCATCAGCAGATCCCGGGGCTTGTCTGCTGAGGTCCGTCGTTGCAGGCTTCCGACAAAGCTTACTCCAGTCATATTCTTTGTTCGGCTTTTTCACGCTTGGTCGAGTGAGTCTAAGGATGTCTGGGGAGTGCGAGCCGGTCCCCCTCTTCCCCCTGCTTGGTGTTAGGGCACCTGCAGAGACCTCCGAAGCTCCTGGATCGTGAGTCGCTCTTCTGCCCTGTTGGCTTCAGCCTGTGTGAGTTTTTCCAGTGACCTGTGCTTAATTCTTGACTCTAGACCTCGACAACCCTTTCTTCAGAGGAAAAAGGCAAAAAGGCCAAGAAGAAAACCAGGCGGCGCCGAGCCAAAGGGGAAGGGAAGAGGCAGTCGGAGGATGAGTGCTTCCGCTGTGGCGATGGTGGGCAGCTGGTGCTGTGTGACCGCAAGTTCTGCACCAAGGCCTACCACCTGTCCTGCCTGGGCCTAGGCAAGCGGCCCTTCGGTGGGTGTGCAGCCTCGTGGCGGCTCGGGGCCGTATCTCTGTGCTGGGGCCCCGACAGCGGCTCTTGCCGCTCCTCCTGCTGACCAGGCCTCATCTGGGTGCTGGTGCATCGGTCACTCGTATACCGAAGGCCCTGATCCCGGGCGGCAGAGCCTTTGTTTCACCAGCCACACGTTCTAGATCTCTGCATCGAGCAGAGAAGATGTGTGATGGTGGGGGAGCCCCCAGAACCTCCAGGAGGGGTTCAGGCAGCCCGAGGCCCAGCTGCAGAATTGGGGCCCTCATCCATGCTGCGGGGTGGGGCGGCCAGGAAGGAGGTGTCCCTGGGAACAAAGCCCTTCCCAGGAGACGGGCCACTGCAGCAGCCTGGCGCCTGCATTTCCCTGGCAGCCCAAGAGGGCCTGGCCTGGGTGCACCACACTGGGAATGGTGGGGCCCAGAGGCCCCGTCCAGGATGCTTAGGGCAGGCTATCCCCAGAGATGGCAGTGTGCGCCAGAAGGATCTGCTGGTTGATGAAGGAGCTGCAGATCTGGCTCTGTTTGCAGGACAGTGGAGTGGGCTCTACCTCCCAGCACCACGCTTTTCAGGGATGACGGGCGTCAATGGGAAAACAGTAGCGTCTCATGCCACTTGGTGACAAGACAGTCTGAGAAGCGGCTGTGGGATGACCAGTGCTGCACAGACGTCACGGCTCACACCCCAGGGTGCGCCCGTCTGTTACAGTCTCGCAGTGTGTTGCTGACCCAGGTGTCGCCATGGGGCTCATGACTGTAGTTGCAGAAGAAAAATTAAAAGGCCCTTATCCAGAACAATAAACCTAAAAGAGGCCGGGCGGGGTGGCTCACGCCTGTAATCCCAGCACTTTGGGAGGCTGAGGTGGGCGGATCACCTGAAGTCAGATGTTCAAGACCAGCCTGGCCAACATGGTGAAACCCCATCTCTACCTAAAAATACAAAAATTAGCCTGGTGTGGTGGCATGCACCTGTAATCCCAGCTTCTTGGGAGGCTGAGGCAGGAGAATTGCTGGAACTGGGGACACAGAGGTTGCGGTGAGCCAAGATAGCGCCACTGCATTCCAGCCTGGGCGACAGAGCAAGACTCCATCTCAAAAAAAACCAAAAACCAGAAAACTATAAAAAGAAAATCCAGGCCAGGCACGGTGGCTCCCCAAAAGAGGCCGGGTGCGGTGGCTCACGCCTGTAATCCCAGCACTTTGGGAGGCCAAGGTGGGTAGATCATTTGAGGTCAGGAGTTTGAGAGCAGCTTGGCCAACATGGTGAAACTCCGTCTCTACTAAACATACAAAAATTAGCCTGGCATGGTGGTGCATCCCTGTAATCCTAGCTACGTCGAAGGCTGAGACAGGAGAATCACTTGAACCTGGGAGGAGGAGGCTGCAGTGAGCCAAGATCATGGTACTGCTCTCCAGCCTGGGTGACAGAGCTATAGACTCCATCTCAAAAAAAAAAAGAATCCAGATGTTTGTGTGAAATACATTTTTGTACGGCAAAGATGACACACAGTAGAGAAAAGTGTTTGCAGTGGGTGTGATAGGGTGAACCCTAACCTGACAGAGCCTTTACAGATCCATGCCAGAAAGAAGACCCAAGTTGAAAATCAGTCCCTTGGGAGAGGGTGGATCAGGGGCCAGTCAGAGCCAGGCGTGGAACGAGCAAAGTGGCTCCTGCCTGTCCACGCAGGGCTGGGGGACACGCCTGCACTGGGTGCAGCTCCTCTCACTAGCTGATACAGAGAGAAGCTGGTAGGTGGTCCTTAGGGGCCTGGCGGGTACTGTGGAGTCAACAGGCCCCACCAGGGAGCCCGCCCGGGCTGTTGGCTGGACCCAGAGCTGTTTTAATTTGTGTTCATTTGACCTGACAGTTTTCAGTTGTCTTCAACCATGAGAATGTTGAAGTCATGATTCCGTCACTTCTGTGTCTCATGTTTGTGTTTTGTTGCAGGGAAGTGGGAATGTCCTTGGCATCATTGTGACGTGTGTGGCAAACCTTCGACTTCATTTTGCCACCTCTGCCCCAATTCGTTCTGTAAGGAGCACCAGGATGGGACAGCCTTCAGCTGCACCCCGGACGGGCGGTCCTACTGCTGTGAGCATGACTTGGGGGCAGCGTCGGTCAGAAGCACCAAGACTGAGAAGCCCCCCCCAGAGCCAGGGAAGCCGAAGGGGAAGAGGCGGCGGCGGAGGGGCTGGCGGAGAGTTACGGAGGGCAAATAGCGCCAGGCAGCAGCCTGGCCAGATCCAGGGGCGGTGCAGGGCAGCCGGCCCTGCCTTCAGCAGAGGGCGAGCGTGAACTGGCCCAGAGGACCCAGCTCGAGCCTCCAGGACAGACGTACAGGCCTCCTCGGGAGGGAGCGCCTCCCCACCACTGAGCCATCCTCGGCAGCACGTGCTGCGTCTGCACTGATGACCGTCTGAGCCCAGCTCAGCGTTCCTGGACAAGCAGCCTCACCCCTCAACGTTACCGCCACACTTGAATTTCTCAGAATGTCAAGGTTCCCTCCCGCTCTCTTTTTTAGTTTAAAGTTAATTGGCCTATGAAATGTTTTAATCTCCTCTGAAATGTGTAGCGTAGGCTTTTCCCGAGGGTCGCTAGGAACTCGGCTTCGCATTGCTCTGCTTCTGCTTTCAGCGCCGTTGCCACTCAGGAGAGGCCGGGTGAGGCCCGTGTGAGGACTGACCCTGGATTCCTCGAAACCGCCATTGTCATCGTTACTCTGCTCTTTGGAAATGGCTGTATCATTTTTTTGTACTAATGTGAATTATTCCTCAAATGCTTCTTTTCCATCCTAGTGAGAAGCTGGCCCTGCAGGCGGTGGCAGCAATGGCGGTGTCAGATTTCCTCCGTCTTCTCCTTATGGATTTAAGCGAAATGCCGATAACACGTCCACTTTCACCGTGTGGTTCACGCGGAGCACTTTCGAGGGCTGGCCGGGCCGGGCCACTTTGCCCCTGGGTCTGTCTTCTGAACTCGCTAGGTTCTTATCTACATTTGGGGGAGAAGTTTGTATATTTTTTCATTTGGCTTTTCTTTACCAATTTCTGATTTTTATTCTCAATATATTTTTGCTAAACCTATTTCACAAATCACCACCGACTGAAATGTGTGTTTACTGATGCGACCCTGAGTTCCATGGCGAAAGGAGTGACCTCTGCAGGGCCCAAGACCGCAGTCTGCTCACAGCACAGGAAATGACAACTTAGGGAGCCCCACAGGGTCCCAGGGACCACAGCACGTGGGTCTGAGGAGAGCCCAGAGCGGCTTCCGTCTCAGCACCCCGTGGGTCTGCTGATGGAAGACGCAGACTCCGCTGGTGGTGGTTGCCCTTCGCCAGGGCAAAGGGCAGCCACTAAGAAGTGTGGTCGTGGGGGTGGAGGCCGGCCTGGTGCGTGTGTGTGCCTTGCGTGTCTGGGCACTGGTCGAGGCCCGGTCTGACACCCTCTCCCTGTGAGATTTCAAAAGGTCCAGCCCTACAAAGTGAGACCTAGCTGAGTACTTCCTATGTTGCTTGTAAGACTTGGTTCTTTTTTGAGGGACCCTGAGCCCTGGGAAGTCTGGAGTGCCCTGAGAAGGGGGCACCGTGTGTGCTTTTGCCCGCGTGCCCTGAGGAGCTGCTGCTTTCCGGTAGGGGTGGGAGTGAGAACATTCAGCAGCAGGTGCTTTTTTATGGCTTTTTCTTCTTAAAATATCCTAAGGAGGACACATCCATGCTGCAGAAAAGTTTACAAAACTCCTCTTTAAAACTTCTGCTGGGGTCTCCTGTCACTTTCCGTGTCATCTTTGACACCTTGTCAACCTGCAGCGTCTGGACCTGAAACCGGCTGCTCCGGGGTTTTCTGACCTGCACATGTCGAGTGGCCCCCCGCAGCTCCCACGCCTCCCTGAGCACTGACTGGAAGTTTCACTGGCTGGTGGCTGTCCCTTCTCCCATCATGGCCCCCAGCAAAGTCAACTACACAGAGGACCCAGAGGAAATGAGCCGTGTGGCCACTGACTTGCACACGCGTGGCCGTGGCCTCTGAGGTGCACTCACCGGTTAAGACGGGTGGGAGTGCTTTCCAGTTCACGCAAGCGTCTCTCAAACTGTCCTAAGAAAATACTGGATCAGCTCATACATTTATGCTCCTTATGCCCTCACTTGGCAGGCTGTTGCAGGGAGAGGCCGGGCAGTGTCCCCCACACGTGCGTGGCCCTGGCCTTTGGAGTCTAAGGCCCCAGGGCCCCGCCGTCACTTGCCCAAAAGATCCTTTGCAGCAGCAAAGGAACCAATCACACTTATGTGAAAACATCAGAACTGGCTTTGCAGTGCACTTTGGGGCACAGGTATTAACTTATTTTTGTGTTTGACAGAAGTAAAATCTTAGGACTTAGTCACTTTGTTAATACTTCCAAATTGTGATCTTTCTTAAGGAAATTCTGCAAAAATTTTAAATATGGTTCCTCCCTCTGTCCAAAAACTGTTAAACTAATGAACAAATAACACTAACTTTGAATGTCTCTAGCATACCAGGTGGTGACTCGGCGAAACCAGACTTTGGGGTACTGGTCCGAGCCTGCAGGTCTTCTCTCCCTGGGGCTCACCAGGCCCCCGGCTGTGACCGTGGATGTGCCTGGCGCTCGGCCCTGCGTGCGCAGCTGTGTTCCGAGGACGAGGTGACTTCCTGAACTTCACTTCTGTCATTCATGTGAGGCAAAACACAAAAACTGCCCCCACCCCTCAGGATCCCTTGGCATCTGAAACCAACCAGGATCTGCACCTACACCCATATCCACCCGCGTGTCCTCACAGGGGATGTGTCTGATTGGGCAGCTTAGAATGTCACCTGTGGGAAAACTCCTCCGGCACCTCAAGTGAGGACCCAGCTGTCGGTCCTTGGGCCGCCTTCCCGGTGACGCCCGTCTGGGTCCCTTTCAGTGCTTGTCTTGACATTAAACCCCAACATGTGCGGTGCCCACCTTCCAGAACTACCTGTTTTATAATTAAAGTTAATACAAATGACTGTCAGTTGCCAAATATCTTGATCCTGTGAGTGTAGTTGGCTGTTGTTAGCGGGTAGATAAAATGCTGTGTCCGTGGGTGCTGAGGTGCGAAATGCCATCAGAAATTAAATGCAAACTTAAATGTGCCGATTGGTGTCTAAACTTCATACAATATAAGGTCGGATTCCTTTTAGGAATACTGGGTGCTGTCACCAGGTTTGATAGTTAGACTTAAAAACTTGAAATTACTTTTGGGGGGATATACTCAACTAGCGACTTGAGACTTCCCAGTTGGGGAAAATAGCATCTAAAGTGGAAAGCTGTGTTTGGAAAATAGTGTACGAGTATTTTTGTATTAAAAACATTTTAAAGGCTTTTTTCTTAACTTATTTTATATGGGATTGTGTTTTTTCCAGTTGCTCAGCATTGTAAGGCGCTGATGGCTCTGATGCCTCCCAGGGGTGCGGCGCCCTGTCCTGACCGTGCCCTTTTGCCTTTGACCTGCTGGGGAGAGGCAGCGCCACCTTGGGAATTAGAACAAATACTGGAAGTGGCAGGGGTAACTGACTTTGGATAATTTGCTTCCCAAGTTCCCATCAAAGGTGAAACGGTCGGGGGAGAAAGATCCGCTGCTGCCCCTCAGCCCTGAGCCGGGCGGTCCCCGGGCCCACAGCCAGGTCCAGGGAGTGCCCTGAGGGCTGATCCTACCTGTTCCCCTCCCCGTGAGCCAGGGTGAGCTAGGGAACTCCCAGCTCTGGACCACCCCGTCCTCACGGCTGCCTAGGGAGGGACTGGGTCCCCAGTGCAGGGAGGACAAGCTAGCCCGAAACACAGCTATGGTGGCTTTCTTTAGAAAAGCTAAACTTTAATTGTTCAGATTATTTTACAATGAAAATAAGTACCCAAAGACTGTCTTAAATGTCTACAACTGTACAAAAGATGAATACAAAACTCCCCGGCAGGCACTGGCAGGGGATGAGGCCCACCGTCCCCCACACTCTGGTATGGCTGGGTGTCCCTGCCCACCCCCAGCATCACCAATGCCACCTTGGTCCCCTCAACCTTGGGGGCGGGAGGGCACTGCCCCAGCGAGGGAAGGTCCTTACTTGGTGTCAGTGGAATTTCTTTAAGAAAAGATTTTTAAAAGTAAGAGTCTAACAGCTGTCACTAAAATTAGGAAGTTGTAACTTTTGGTTAACTTGCTACATTCAAAAATGTAACGCTGAGTCCAAAAAGTGTCTTAAATCACACAAAAAGGAACTCATTAAAATTTTAAAAATAAGCCCAAAACACCCCAGAGAAATGCATCCAGAACTGAAACGGGCTGGGTCAGCAGCAGGGCGGTGGCCAGGGCAGCTGGGGGGATCTCGTGTGCCAGGTGTCCGCTGTCCGGCAAAGCCGTCGTCCCTCGGAGCCCCAGGCGGCCTAGGACACGTTGGTCATGGGCTTGTACTTCTTGAAGCGCGTCCACTGGCCCGTGGCATAGTTCATCTCGAACACCGTGTCCACCAGCATGGTGGTGCTGCCCTGGCCGTCCGCCTTGGGCAGGTCCTCCGTGTGCTCGCTCAGCTTGATCTGGATCACGTCCCCCTGCTCCTGGCACGGGTTCTCTGCAGAGGGCAGAAACTGCTGGGTGGGTGTCTGGGGCCAAAGCGCCCACCCCGCACCCGGCCCGGCGCACCCCAGCCCCTGCCGCATCCACACACCTCGGGAGCCGGCCATGAAGCCCAGGATGAGGGCCTTCTCGGGCCGCGTGACTTTGTTGGCCGTCTTGAACATCTCCTGGGCGGCGAACATCTGCTCTCGCTACAGCGGGCAGAAGGGTGTGGGTGCCGGGGCTCTGCCAGGACCACCTCCTGCCTCGCTGCCTGCAAGCACTATGGCACCCCCACTCCAGAGCAGGTGGCCAGGGCCATACCACCTACCTGGTGGCCTGTGGGCGCTGCCAGGGCATACCTACCGTGAGGGACAGGTTCTTCTTAGGCTGTTGCTGGGCAGGAGGCTGGGTCTGTGGGGCCACCATGGCCACCGGGGGTGTCTGAGTGGTAGGGGCGACAGCCGGGGGTGTGGCGGGTGTCAGAGGCGAGGTGGGCGCTGCAGGCGTGGGTGTGGCAGGGCTCAGGCCACTGTTGTACATGGGTGCCCGCTGCTTGAACTGTGCCGGCAGCGTGGGGCTCGGGGCACTGGGTTCCTCTGGTGGGCGGCTGGCTTCCCGGGAAGACGGGGCTGCAGGCAGACCAGGGTCTGGTGAGGGAGCTGGACCCCGCCCAGTCCCCAAACCCTAGGGCTCCTGGAGGTGACAGGCTCAGCTCCCCTTCTCTGTCCTGCTCCCTCTAACGAGAACTCCCTGTGGCTGCAGCTGGAGGGGCAAGGCCAGCCGTCTCAGATCCTCCCAGACCCGCACGTAAGATGTCTGGACTCTGGCCAGCTGCTGGCCTGTGGCGGGGCCCCCATACCGCAGGCACTGATGGGGAGAGGAAGGCTGTGTCCGCAAGCCCCTGTGGCCCAGCGCCTGGCCTGAGGTGCCGTGAGCCTGGCAGTGCCTTCCATCTGGGAGGGGACAGCCCTTGGCTCCCCTCCCCCCTCCCCAGCAACAAGAGCTGGGTCACCTGGCAGAAGACTTCTTGCGAGCCCAATCCCCTTCCTGCCGTATCCCCTGGGGCAGCTGCCTGCCTGTGCCCAGGACAGGCAGAGGGGCAAAACAGCTGGTTTAGGACTTGGAACTTGAGCTGACTAGCGGGGCACCTGCCCCCAGCACTGGCCGAGGCAGAGGGACAACAGAGGCGGCAGTCAGCACTGCAGTCCTGGCAGCGCCCGGGGGCAGGGCCACGTCCTGGTGGCAGCTTGGCTGGTTCCAGGCTGGGGCCAGCAGACTCACCTGGGGGCGTCTCAGAGCTGGGGGTGTAGGAGGAGGCGGGAACCACACTGGGCGTGGAGGGCAGGTAGCTTGTGGAGGGCAGGGCAGGCTCGTTGTTCAGGGACCCGAGTTTCTGGAAGAGAGTTTAGGGTCCCTCCCAGAAGAGGCCCTGCTTCCAGCGTGTGCTCCCTCACGGCCCGCACGCTGTGGCCCCCCTGAGCTAGAGCAGGACGGTGGGGGCCACTCTCCCGCACTCCCTGGGCTGGGCAATGGGACCCCTGGTGCCCCAGCAGAGTGCAGGACGGAGCCGCTCCCGGGATCGGGGAGGGGTTGGGAGCCCAAACCGCCCACCTCTGAGGACTGAAGGAAAGAACAACGTTTTTTCTTACAAAAGCATTGACAAAAGGGAGATGTTCATGTTCAGAAACCCAGAACATGCAGCTACGCGACGGGAAGGAGCTTATCACCGAGAAGTGGCCCCGTGGTGTGGCTTCCTCCAGGCCCTGGCCTCAGACCACCCGCTGCCGCCTCCCAGCCACAGGCAGGGCCTGGTCTCCAGCGCACTGGCTCTGACAGGTCCCACCCAGCACTCCCACAGGCCCGGCCTGATGGGACACTGACTGCAGGGGTGAGGGAGCCCCCAACCCGCAGCCGCTCCAGCAAGCGTGGGGCAGGTGCCCGTGCCAAGCCCGAGTCTGATGCCCACGTCAGGGCACGGCCCGCACTGCCTCTCATATACATGCACACATGGATGCATACCACACACATACGTACACGTATGTAGACACACACATAGTCTCCGATAGCACACACAAGACTGGCCACAGTCGGAACAAGGCTGCAGCCCTGAGCCCTACCTGCGTGGACACCAGGCCGGCCGCGTAGTCCGGGGTGGCGTTCTCCACGACCGTCTCCTCCTTGGCCGGCTTCTCCACCAGCTCCGCATCTGTGGACAGAACAGGCATCCTCGCCAGCGCACGGCGCGTCCACAGGCTCAGCTCGGGGCAGCAGCGGGAAAGCAGACGATCCCCAGGAGAGGACGCCAAGGAGCCATGAGAAAAGCAGGCACCCACCCACGGAAGAGGAACCTCGAGGGGCACAGCCCTGCCTGCCAGGCACAGACACGCCCCACCCTGTCTGGGCAGGGCCCGCAGGGACCCCCACTGCCACCCCTGAGCAGGCCCTGGCACCCACCGAGAGTCTTCCTTCTCCGCTTCGCCTCTCGGCCAGCGCCAACCATGTCCAGCTCAGAGATGTCCAGCAGCTGCCAAGGTAAGCACAGCGTGCCTCAGTGACACTGCCCATGCCACGGGCCTCGGGCCAGCTGCGGGACGGGCCTACCTTCACGCCCCGTTCTTTCCGCAGCAGCGTCCTGGAAGGCGGGATGGGGGTCCGGTTCCCTGTGGGGCTGAAGACGCTGGGTGCCGTGGGGCTTCGGAAGGGCGCCTGCTTCGGGATGCCTTTGAGCGGGGCTGCAGGGTGACGGCATCTGTCAGGGCCAGCAGCAGTGACCGCCAGGCCACCCCCGTCCCGCTGAGTCCAGAAGGTCCCAGCCTCTTCTGGGGGAAGGCCGCAGCAGGCGGGACCCCCAGGATCCCGGACCTCAGGGAGCTGGGGGGCGCCTGGAGCCAGGACCTCACACTTGCCAAGACACTGAACTGCATCGCTGGGCATCACCTCGGCCCAGCCATGGGACCTCACCAGGTGGAGGCTCTCACCAGCACTACGGGGGCTGAGCTCCGCCTCCTTGCACCTCCACAGGCAGGGGCAAGAAGCCAGAGGCCTGGGCCCGAGGGCAGCCCTCCCCAGGTCCATGCCCTTGCCCCCCAGCACCCACATGCACCCCTCCAGGGTATGTGTGCATGGCTCTCATGGTGCCAGGCTGGGAAAGAGGGCACTCCGGGGACTGTGCCATCAGCACGCTGGGCCAGGCTTGACACCCTGCCCCCAATCTGGCCCACCCTCCCTGGGACAGCAGGTGCGGCCCTGGCCCTGGGGTGCCTGGCTGGGGTGGAAAGACGGGTCTGCTTCAGGCAGGCAGAGGAGAGCAAGGTGGAGCCTCTGCTGCGGTGGACAGGGATGTGACCCGAGGACAACAGTCAGCAGACCCAGGAAGCCTTCCACCAGGTGCCACGTGGACACTGGGATTACAGGAGCCCCAGTACACTAAGCCAGCCTGGCCCGTGCTGCTTGGAGGCGCCTGCACGGCTGCCCTTTCCACCCCACCCGGCAGCCCCCAGATCACTATCCTCCACCCTCTGCGGTGGCTGCGCCCTGCCATGGTTCCCAGGGGCGGCTGACTTCCAGTCATTAGGGTCCGTTCTGCTTAAGCCACGCCTAGCCCTGGGCACAACTGAGGAAGGGCGGATGGAGCCCCGGCTGAGCATGGCCACACCCTCCCTGCAGAGCCACCCAGGGACACTCAGAACCCAAGAGCAGCTGGGAAGTTCAAGAGCCGCTGCCGCCGCCGCCGCCAGCAAAGAACAGGGGACAGCGCCGTCCTCAGAACCCGGCCTT